CTGAACTAGGACTTGCATTTCCATTTTGTACCCCTTCTGCCTTCATAAAACAATTGCAGCGCTAATTATACATATAACTTTTAAGATCAAAAAAAGATGAATAATAATTCTACACAGATGACAGCAAAGTCTATGTAGGATTCCCATATATAGATAGAAATTGGTGCATAAGAAAGTGAATTCCAGTCCAGAAAGAAGACCGTCACCTTCCACACAAATAAATTGGCCTCGTACCAGAAGGTCTAACTGCCCAAAGGGTCGACCAGCATGAGCAATGTAATATATCCATCTGATACTGCAACCGGTCTTCAATAGAAATCATTTTAAGAGCAATCAAAGATGCTTCTCCAAATTAAAATTCTGAGTAGCAAACTAAATTAATTTAAGACAAAGTTGTGACTATTGATCTCTTCATTCCTCGCCTTTGTGGCTGTGAAGATATCCTGATGGATGGGACAGCAGTTTCCCAGCAAAAATTCTGGATTTCAAACAGACCTTTGGAATGAACGATAACTTTCTTTCAGAAAAGAGTCAGGTGCAGAAAGTGAAACTAAGGCTGGCCATACATTATACAATTATCTTCCAATTTTCTGCCCAATTTCCTTTAGATTTACCTTCAACTGTGTAGTGCAAGGGCCTGCCTAATTGGGTACAACTGAAAGTGTTGTTTAGGTTTGTCCTCCTATTAAATGGTTTTTGGTAAATCTAAACCAAAAATCTCCAGATAATTGTATAATGTATGGCCAGCCTAAGCCACAAGAAATCAAATCTTGGATTTCATAGGGTAAACTGCTCCTGGCAGGGGATGGGTTAATTTGGCCCCACTAGAAGCCATGGGAGAGAAGACTAAATAGAGTTTTGTGCCCTGGCCAGTGACTGATGACCATCTGCCCTCTAGTCTTCAACTGACTACCCTTCTGTCTTGCTGTTGCCTTGTTGTCTCTTTGTTTCTTTGTCATACTTTTTTTTCTAAACATTTTATTTGCACCATTTTTCTACTTTTTAATTATTAAATCATATTTTGAAAAGTGTTAAAATTGCCTGTAATGCCCTGATGCAAACTAAAAGAATTCCTGTCTCTTTGAAGAGTACTACTGTAGTGTAAATCTCTGTGTGACAGTGTGTGTTACAGACATTTCCTCTAAATTTATAATTATTCTTGCTAATATAGTGGATGTGTGATAGGCCGATCCTATCTGGTGGCAGATTGGAGTTTAAAAGGCTAATTCCTTAGTTAACTTAAGCCAGTGACAATTGCTTTCAGTCTGTTGGCACCTAAATTGTGGTCTCGCAAGCTGGAAAATATTTGTTCAGTATGGGACTGAGAGCACCATTGTTGCGTATCAGTGACAGCGTGGTGTGAGGTTGACTAGTCATTTGTCATGAGTTGGTGAAAAGGGCTGTGGTCTGACACTGCTTTCGTCACAATACCTAGTTCCAAAGAGGGGGATCAGGGGCTGTGAACGAAGTAAAGAGAGCATGCTCCCCAACCAGAAGTTGCTGTGACAGTAAAAGTGGGTGTTGCAGGAAGTTTTTGAGGGAAACATTTATTATTTTAAGCTGGAATCCTTAATACTAATTTATTACAGCAAAAAAAAAATAGAGCCTTTAGTATACTGACCTTCACATGAGTTTTACAGGTTGAGGGACCCTGGCAGCATGGCGGAATGGTGCTTTTCTGCTAGATTGGCCACTGCAGCATCTTCGCCCACATGCTCCAGTGGTCTAAGATCCTGATGTCATCAAGACCAATGCAGGGTGGTTGGGGGAATCAGTCCTGTTGTGGTATTGTATTCTGACAGCAGGGAGACTTCTCTATTGTCAGAATACAATGATCAGTGTTGTCAGCTATAGCCAGCGTACTGGTACTGATCATTTGGGAAAAACCCGACAGGCTGGTTGTACACAAGTCGATTGACTTGTGCTCAACCAGCCTGCCCATACAGGGATTGAAATTTGTTCAGTCCCTGATTATTTGGCTGAATTTCGATCCATGTATAACTGACTTAAATGTGAACTTATTTCAATGGCCCATCCCCCTTATAAAAGGCTCTTATTTTATCTAATAATTGCTGTAATAATTGCTGAGAATAGAGAAAGAGACAATAGCAGAATGGAAGGTATAACCAATCCCGGAAAGAAACAAGGCATTCATGATCTGTGTTTGAAAGTGTTCAGTTACTGGCTGCTCTTTCACTTCCACTTGTAAGAAGAGTACACTAATTTGAACTATCAGTGGGCAGTAATAGCCATACTTTAAATGCAAACCTCTAAAATGCGGCGTCAGTCTTTTCAAACATAATATTTGAATTAATTTGAAAATAAAAAATATTGGTTTCAAGTAAAAAATATTAGAGCTGAAATCTGGGTATTTTTTAAATTCCACCTTGCACTGGGGTTAAGTGCAGGATAATTGGAATGAACAGAAATGCTTACCTGAATTTGTTCTCCAGCAGGCTGTACAACTGGTCACTGAAGCCATTTTACTTTGTTTCTCCTCCATTCACAGCCTTTCATGCACTATCATGTAGAATGCAGGACCAGTGGTTCTGTATTGTGCGTACATTAAAGCGGTTCTTCAGTCCTATTTGTGAAAACTGAAAGTCAGCAGCTACAAAAACTGTAGCTGTTGCCTATTAGAAATCAGCCACTCACCTGTCCAGAGATCCAGTGCCGTTCTCACCCCAGAGAGTTTTTTCACTGCTCTTCACCCATATGGAAGAAAAAATATTTTAAAATATATTTTAAAAATATTCTTCCCAAATATATTGCCCTGTATTTGAAATGCTACAATTTTGGCCATATTCAATATGTTTAAAAAAATATATATATGTGTGACTGCTTGCAACTTTACAGCCGCCTGCACACCATGCATGCACAAGCCACACTGCCCATTGATAATGGTCCCACAGTCTCTTGGGACTTGTGACATGTCCCAAGAGACTGCAGGGAGCAGAGAGGGAAGGCGAATTTCGACTGGAATCACCTAGGCGGTAAGAGCAGAAGTGGGAGCGGGTACCTGTGAAAATCAGGTACCCACTCCCTCCCCCAAAAAATCCAATTTTGACAGAGGAGGGGGTATGAGGAGGAACAGTGGAACTTCCCCTTTTGGGTGAAGTTCCGCTTTAAGAGCCCACATATACCCTGAGAGCTTTGCAGAGCACTTTGTTTTTACAGCTTTTTCCCTATTTTGACATGACTACCCCCTTCAAGAGGTTCTAAAGGACAGGAGACAGAGGTGGGCTTTCCAATCTTGTGAATGGTGTGATTGGCTGTGACAGCAGTCACATGATTGGAAGTTCATGACTGCAGGTATGTATCAGGAGCTACCCATGACAGCTTAGTCAGAGGCGTCCCTAGGGTTGCTGTCACCCAGTGCGGTAACACTTGGTGACACCCCCTCTGACACATCTTGCCGCTACACCGGTGTCACCCCATATAGGTTGCATGCCGACGATCCCCGCAGGATCGTCGGCATGCAACCTATACGGGGTGACACCAGACTCGCTAGAAAAGGTAAGTTGTAAAGAAAGCCGATGATCCCCGCAAGATGGATCAGATCCATCCTGCAGGGATCGTCGGCATGCAACCTATCGTAGGCTTGCTTTACAACTTACCTTTGTGTGGAGCAGGTCCGGTGTCACCCCGTGTGGTCGGTTTCACCCGATGCGGACTGCACCCCCCGCACCTGCCTCAGGACGCCACTGAGCTTAGTTACTATGCTGGGAGCACACAGTGAATGCACTCTCATCACAAAAAAGCCATCCCCCATGCAGCGGCTCACCTTCTGTTAACAATTATAACATTTTAGATTCCTATTTCAATTTCAGAGAGGTAGGCACTAGTGTCAACAGGCTTTGGGCTTGTGTCAACTTGTTTTTCCGGCGCATTTTGCATTTTTGTTGCTTCTTTTATGCCTTTTGGGGTTTTTTTTGGCTAATAGGAAAGTCTGTTCATCTAGTGTGACTTTGATGCGACTTTGATGTGACTTTACACTCTCTGGCATTCAAGTAGCATCAACATCATATCAAAGCAGTGCAGAAACCTTTAGATGTCCAAAGTCACATGTTAGGGTTGGGGTTAAGGGCTAGGGTTAGAGTTAAATGTTAGGGTTGGGGTAAAGGGCTAGGGTCAGCGTTAAGTGCTAAGGTTAGGGTCAGGGGTGGACTGACCATTTGGAAACTCGGGCACTGCCCGAGGGCCCGGGGTTCAGTAGGGGGCCCCATGAGATGCCCCTGGTACCTTTTTCATAGGCTTTTTTGAGTTTGGGCAAGGACAACGGGGCCCCATGATCCCCTATTGCCCGGGGGCCCCATGAGTTGTCAGTCCTGCCCCTGGTTAGGGTTAACCTTAGCCCTTAACCCAAACCCTAACATGCGACTGTAGACACATAAAGGTTCCTGCAATGCTTTAATGTGACTTTGATGCTACTTGAGTGCCAGAGAGTATAAAGTTGCATCAAAGGTACATCAAAGTCGCACTATGTGAACAGAACTATCATACTTTCCTATTTGCAAAAAAAAAAACCTGCAAAATGTCACAAAAACAAACACTTGAAGTCTACTATACGCAAAACACAATCTGCTGAGGGAAAAAAAATTATTGACCCTTTCCAAAAAACGCACACGTTCAAACGCACAGATGTGAACTAGTTAAATAGGAAACCATGTTAAATGGTCTGTAGTGCATTTCTGCAAACTGGAAAATGCGCTGAAATCTACAAAAGTGTGAACCTAGGGTTAAGCAGGATTGGCATTTATATAGACATGTATGAGAATGCAAATCCCGCTTGAAGAAAACAAAAGCCTGCCTGCACAGGCCGTAAATCTACCTAGTGAGTACACAGAGAGCTATAAAATAAATCTTCATCCAAAACCTACAAAAAAGGGTTTGGATATACATACACGTTTGGATATACATACACTTTTGGATATACATACACTTGAACTCTTTCCTATTGCCCTTTTTTCGGTTCATATGTAAATGTTCTCTCCTTTTACATCTTGCAAGTTTGCTTTTGAATCACTTCATTAAAAAATTTTATTTTATTTTATGCATACATTTATCATGTATTGTTCCAGAAAAGGTGTGTCTCAGTGTCTTTAAAGCTCATTATGAGTAGATCACAGTGGTTTAGAGACACCTATTGAAGTAGCCAACTTTTCATTTCATTGCACAACATCATCATCCCTTGTCCGATTTGCCATAGAACAAAATGGGACTGAAATGCAGACAGGATCTTATCAATCTCAGATGTCTTTGCTGGCTGGCACTTCTCAAAACATGAATGCTCACCCCAAGCAGCCATTTATGTTTAAACCTACAGGAAACAGTGTGTTATGAACACCAAGGGGAAGAGTTACTAAAACCGGTGCATATATAATCTGGTGCAGCTTCTAGATTTTATTGTCAAAGTGTTATTGAGCAAGCTGAAGTCTGAATCTGGCTGGTTACTAAGCATATCTGCACCAGATTCTGTGTGCATCAGTTTTAGTAAATCTTCCCCCAACTGTCTTATGAGGGAGAAAATAATGATTATAGAAGGTTTTCCAAGCTGCCTAATCCTCATTTCCCTCAGTTAGTCTTAGCTTGGGAAAACGCACTGCTGCCTCTTTGCCTTGGTTGCTAAATGTCCCTGTCCTAGATCTGGTGGTCAGCATTGGAGTTTATAACAATATATTAATTCTAAAGACATTTTAGATGTTACTGTAATCCTCTCACATTACTAACCTACTAAGTGACATATCAGCATTCATTTCCTCAAACTAAATTTTTCCAAAATGGAACTCATACTATTTCCTCCAGCCCGTGCCCCCTCCCCTGACTTCTCCATCAAGATCAATAATACAACCATCAGTCCCTCCCCTCATGCCAGGGTACTAGGTGTAATCCTAGACTCCCATCTGTCCTTTCAGCCCCAAATCCAATCACTGTCCAAATCTTGCAGACTTCACCTCCACAACATCTCCAAGATATGCCCATTCTTAACCTCTGAAACTAGTAAGCAACTTATTCCACTCCCTTGTTATCTCTTGCCTTGACTATTGTAACTCCCTCATTGGCCTACCTAATTACAGTCTATCCCCTCTTCAGTCTATCATGAATGCTGCTGCCAGACTTATCCACATTACTAACTGTTCCATATCTGCCATCCCTCTCTGCCAATCCCTCCACTGGCTTCCCATTGCCCAACGGATAAAATTCAAAACATTAACAATAACATATAAAACCTTTTATAACTCTGCCCCAAATTACATCACCAATCTTGTCTCTAAATATCACCAAAACCATCTTCTCCACTCCTCACACAACCTCCCGCTCTCCAGCTCCCTTGTCTTCTCCCATGCTCGTTTCCAGGACTTCTCAAGAGCCTCCCCCATCCTCTGGAACGCTCTACCCCAATCTATCCAACTATCACCTACTCTGCCCACTTTTAGGCAATCTCTGAAAACCAATCTCTTCAGGGAAGCCTATCCTGCCTTCAGCTAATATTGGAATCTTCTGTCTTCATATCAGTTCATCCCGTACAGTTATTACCTTTTGTACCACCAGCCCCTCCCTCTTAGATTGTATGCTGCAAGGAGCAGGGCCCTCCTAACCCTCTTGTATTGAACTGTATTGTTGCTGTATTGTCTCCTGTTATATTGTAAAGAGCTGAGCAAACTGTTGGCGCTATATAAATCCTGTATTATAATAATAACAATACTGTATAATGCTGCTTTTTTGGACCAAAAGTAGAAATTCAGTGAATAATGGAAGTTCCACTCTTCCTCCTCTGCAATTAATGACAACTGTTTTTTTTTGGTGGAACAGGTACCTAATTTTGATAGGTACCCACTCCCCACTTCCCCTGGAATCGCCTAGGCAATTCCACTAGAAGTTAACCCCCTTCCCTCCCCACAACCTCTTGGGACACGTCACAGGTCTCAGAAGGCTATAAGTCCATTCATACAGGGCAGCGCAGCTCGCACATGCACATTAGTGATCTAGCTGTGAAGCCGCAAGTATTTGCAGCCAGCTCCCACACTAAACTTGGAAGAGCCAGGGACCTGAAGAACTGGTATGGGTGAGATATTTTATTATAAAAAATCAACAGTTACAGTATTTGTAGCTGCCATTTATAATTTTTTAAAACCTGACTGAAGTAACTCTTTAAAGAATAACTAAAGGAAAAACTTTTTTTTAAAAGTGTTGGATAGAGTGAAGAGGGATTAGAACACCTGCCAGTTTTTATTGCTGTCTGTGCCCCGTTATGGATATTCATGCTCTCTCTTTTTCCTGTTTACTGTTGTCACCGAAACTGAAAGTAAACTAAAATTTTAAATTTTGTGTTGTCCCCAGAATAGTAATAAAGGGGAAACCTTCGCAGTTCTAGTGTTCTTATTACATGTTTGTGAAGATTCCAATAACGGATTTTAATTCTGCTACACCGTTGATAATCTATCCAACCTTTGTTCTTTGGCACTAGTGACCTTGTGGACCCCCAAGGAATTCCCTTAATTTTTAAATTTTGGGCTATGGGACAGGAAGTGAAGGAAAATCTCCCCAATGGGACACAGATGGCAAAAAAAACTGTTAGGGGTTATACGCTATCCAAAATGAAAAATACGTTTTGCCTAAAGTTCTACTGTATCATTGTAGTCATCACTGAAACAACTCCACTGACCTCTATACAAGGAGTCATACCTGAGGAGGTTACTATATAACCTGCATTTATCTAGTTTCTAAACACAGCTCAGATTACCATAAAATAACCCGTGATAACTGTCATCAACTGACTATGGATCCATACTAATAACAGTTGTTTAACACAAATGACACAGCTTAACAGGACTATTGTAGAGAGTTAATAGCTGCATTCAACACCTGCTCCGCGCTGTCGCTATCTTTAATCCTGCAATGAAGGAAATGTTTCCGTTTCAGGCCGAGCATAGAACTTTCAAAGAACCATTTATATAAAGTCATTGTTTATTCAGAAAAGAGCATATAGCTGCATTACAAATAGAACAAAGCTGCCAAATTTACATTTAACTAGAAAAAAGACCAATCTGAAACCATGGAGACAGCATGCAGACATGGGCCCAGATACCCCACTGTCATAAATGGCAATTCCAAAAACAAAGATCATTTACAGTAGAACTTCAGATAAATATTGGTTGGAACAGCTACATGAATATATGTTTGAAATACATGAATACTAACTGATTTGGCTGACAAATATCAATAATGGTGTTCATCAACTCTTGTATTTCAGACAACTCTGCCCACATTATTACCTAAGGCAGGTGATCTCACTTTTATCCAAGGCTCATATACAATACAGTTTGGTCCGGTTTTCACCCCTAATCAGCTAATCCAACATTGGTTCGTTTATCACTGAGCTTTTCCCACTGTGCAATGCTTGCCCTATTTCTTTCATTCTGAGCAATTTGCAAAGCTAATATAATTATAAAAATCAGCTATATTATTACAGGATCACAAGAGTTTGGGACAACTTTTCATTTTGTTTGCCAGGAGTTTGGCTTTAAGAGCGCTAACAGGAGACAGAAGCAGAGGGAAACCCCCCACCCAATAGTAATGGGGCTGGTTTACTCATGGAAAATAGACTGTGCACTTTGTAAGTGCAGTTACGCCAGAGCTTAGCAAATGAGGCAAAGCTTCACTTTGCAAAGAATACCCAATCACAAGTAAGAAAAAATAAAATAAAAACAACAACATTTTTGCTTCCACATGATTGGATGATGGAAGTCAGCAGAGCTTCCCCTACTTTATTAAAGCGGAGCTCCACCCAAAAGGGGAAGTTCCGCTTTAAAGACTGGCCAACACTCCCCATTAGGGATTGGCACTTTTGGGGTGGGTACCTGAAATTGACAGGTACCTGCCAAGGCATTTGGAAGCAGAAGTTATCCCCCTCCCTCCCTGTAACGGACCCCAGACACCCAACGACTGGGTATCTCCGTCAAGAAGCAGATATACCTACCTGAGCCCGATCTCGGTCCAGCACTGTGCCCACTTGGAGTAGCTCTCTCCTTTTCTCTTTGCTCTCAAAGGTTTTGCTGACAGCAGTTGGAACAATTTGTCTCCTGCTGCTGTCAGTCAAAACCTGTGATGAGGGAGCAGAGGCAGGGCTGAACCACACTGTGTCTCTATAGATGCAGGCAGCACAGCTAGTGATTGAGCCTGCAGGTGTGCCATAATAGGAAGCAGCTTCCTATGTTGGCACACTGAGAAGAGGAGCAGCCAGAAGTGCCGGCAGGGGGCCCAAGAAGAGGAGGTTTGGGGCTACTCTGTGCAAAACCATTGCACAGAGCATGAAAGTATACTACTGTATGTTTTTATTTTAAAAGTAAAAAAAAATTGAAAAAACACTTTAACCAGTCCTATTTTGCATATTAATTCTTCATGGTCTGCATTATTAGGGGACATATCAGGGATTAGTTCTACAAGATGTCTGTCTTTCCCACCTCAGAGAACATTGAGAGTTATGGTATTATTACATAGCACGGTAGAAGAGTAGATTAAAAAAAAAACAAATATTCCAGCAAACATTTTATCAGGTAAAACATTATGCAGAGCCATTTTTTATATAATACATGTTATATATTTTATATGTATAAAATATAATATATTATATATAATTATATAGCAATTATATAACATTTATATAATAAATAAATAAAAAATTATATATATATATATATACCGTATTTTTCGCTCCATAAGACGCACCTGACCATAAGACGCACCCTAGGTTTTAGAGGCAGAAAACAGGAAAAAAAAATTCTGAACTAATGGACTGCAGACACAGTACAGGAGATGACCAGAGACTGCGGACACAGTACAGGAGATGACCAGAGACTGCAGACAAAGTACAGGAGATGACCAGAGACTGCGGACAGTACAGGATATGACCAGAGACTGCGGACAGTACAGGGATGACCAGAGACTGCGGACACAGTACAAGAGATGACCAGAGACTGCGGACACAGTACAGGAGATGACCAGAGACTGCGGACACAGTACAGGAGATGACCAGAGACTGCGGACAGTACAG